CTTTGGATCCAGAGATAGAGAGTAACGCCACTAGTGTGAAACGCCGACTGTAATTTCTTTTGTGAAATTCCTGAACAAAAAGGACGATAGAGAGTGCTTCTTTCTCAGTTTGTCTGTACTTCTTGTCAGAGCTCGTGCCGCATGCGCCACAGCCTTTTCTGAATCGACTGGAAAACAGTGTGAAAAGACTGCACCGATTTCACAGCTAGAAGCGTTTCATGATGAGCAGCGATGTCTTCTAGCTTGATTTCTTGGCGCGGAACCTCGTAAGACCCATGTCGGATAATGCGCCGACTACAACACTGTGAGCTGCATCAAGGTGTCGAATGCCGGTGGCAGACTGTGATATATAATCCAACTGACGAATTTCTCGAGGTGAGGAACGAGCATGGGAAACACAAAAAGCAGAAGTAACGGGCTTATGATCCCTAAAGATGGCAAATGCACATATTTTAGTGAGTCATTTGATCGGAGTTGGATCAGTTCAAGATTATTGGCTTGTACGGCAGATAAACGAGATTATGCATCAACAACAGTGTTCTTGGGATCGTCAGTGTAACGGACGTCCACACAATTGGGTATGAATCTGCCGTAGTAGTTGACTATGCCGAGGAATCGGCGTAGGCTTCTGACAGATGGTGGCATGGGGTAGTCTAGGATCGCTTGGGTCTCATCCGGAAGAGGTTTGATGCCATCACCATCGATCCTGTGACCCAGAACCTCAACGATGGGCTCACCAAATGTGCATTTGTCCGGGTTGTTGGTTATTCCGTGATGTGCAAAGCGTACAAAAACCATTGGGGTTTGTGATATATGCTCATCGCTGTTCGCGCTTGCCACCAAAGCATAGTTTATGTAAACGTAGACAAAATATAGGCCACGTAGAACCTGATCCATGCACATCGGCGGTGGTAAAAACAAAGGAAAACTTACTTGGTAGTCCTAGGCCTAGGCTAAGTAGTTTCTGGCCGTAAGTTGCGATTTTAGTTTTATTGACCGCCTGCAGCGTTGGGCCTGCTCGTTGTAGGGGGCGTTTTCCCAAGAGAAAGAGTAGAACGCTGACTTCTGCACCAGTTTCGACCAAGAAGTAAAGTTTGGTTGTAGAGTCAAATACGTACAGCTGGCATCTAATGATCTGGCCGAGCTCACATTCAATCTGCTGAGTCAAATGCTAGAATAGGATGTGTCAGAAGCTTATGCTGATTCCTCGGCAGAGTCAGCTACTACGGCAGATTCATACCCAATTATGTGGTCGACCGTTACACTGACGGTTCTAAGAACACGGTTGCTGATGCATCATAGCTTGATCATCTGAAATAATAGTCACCGACACTCATCGACCTGGAGAGAATATCTGCCGTACAAGCCAATAATCTTGAACTGATCCAACTCCGATCAAATGACTCACTAAAATATGTGCATTTGCCATCTTTAGGGATCATAAGCCCGTTACTTCTGCTTTTTGTGTTTCCCATGCTCGTTCCTCACCTCGAGAAATTCGTTAGTTGGATCATATATCACAGTCTGTCACCGGCATTCGACACCTTGATGCAGCTCACAGTGTTGTAGTCGGCGCATTATCCGACATGGGTCTTACGAGGTTCCGCGCCAAGAAATCAAGCTAGAAGACGTCACTGCCCACCATGAAACAGATTCTCGGTATGAGCAGTTAAAAACAAATCCTTCCATTAAACTTTCTCAACTACCTGTTCTCGACTGGGACTCTCGAATTTATTGTGATATATCCACCGGAAACGCCTCGGCCATTCCTTCCGCAACATTATCGACGATTTGTGTTTGACCACTTGCATGAAATCTCCCATCCGAGTAGCCGCGCTACCATCAAGCGGATTACGGATCGCTACATCTGGCCACGCATGCTGAAACACTGTATTACCTACCAGAATAGCAAGATACGTCGCCACACCATCACTGTACCTGGAACCTTTTCTCTGCCTGATGCTCGATTCAGGCATATCCATATCCGCATCGTTGGACCTCTACCGTCATCCAACGGTTATATTTACGTGTTTACATGTGTCGATCGCTTCACACGTTGGACACACGCAGTGCTGCTGTGAGAAGTCAGCCGAGACGGCGACACGAACTTTCATCGAAACTTGGATATACGTGTTTGGCACGCCGCCACTATCACCACGGATTGAGGACCCCAATTTACTTCTGCACTGTTTCGCGACCTTAACCGCATGCTTGGTTGTTCTCATTTACGCACGACAGCGTATCATCCGGCTGCTAACGGGTTAGTCGAGCATTTTCACCGCCAACTCAAATTCGCACTCACTGCGACGCAATCGAATACCTAGTGGTCGGAGCGTTTACCGACCATTCTCCTCGGGATTCGCAACACAGTGAAGAAAGATGTCGGTTGTTGTCCCTTTAGAATTAGTCGTACGACACTGAGAGTTCCAGGAGAATTAGTACTAGATTCCAGGGTCACTGGCGAAGTCGATCCTACGTCATGTGTTGCACGACTAAGACAACACTTCGGCGCCATACGTCCAATACCACTGCGATTCACTTCGCGAAACCACCACATTTACCCCGACTTTCACACGTACCCCTTCGTTTTCGTACGCATCGATGCGGTTCGCAAGCATTTGACACCGCCTTACGAAGCCCTTTCAAAGTCATCGCTCGCAAAGAGACGTATCCCGTATTGGACAGAAATGCTTCTAAAGACTGCCAGTATGGATCGCCTGAAATTAGCCTACATTGAATCCCAGTCACCGCAACAGACTCCCGACACTGACGCTGAACAAATTCCGCCACAGAGCACTCCACCCACCCAACTGATGTGCGGCTCCAGTGTTCCCTCTCCTCCCCAACCAGCACCTGTCACAAAATCAGACACACAAAAGCATACACGTTTTGGACGTGCAGTTATTCTTCCTTCCAAACTAGCTACTTGCGTCAGATGGCACATAACGAGCGTTTATTTTCTTGACTCAAGCTCTCAGGGGTGGGAGTTCTGTAGCTGCAACGAATTTCCTCGATATTACATGAAAATGGATATTCAGAGAAGTTCACAGCAAGACATTCAAAGGCGAATTCGAGTACTAGTGTTCATAACACTACCATTCAAAGGCGACCAAAATGGCAGGAGATTCTGATACCTTCAGCGTCAAACTATGAAAAGGTGTTATTACGCCGCTGAACTTGTACTTTTGCACAAAGGTAATAAGTTGTTGTTTAAATCCAACCTGGACAGGCCAGACACTCGAGTTACCGCATTAATCATTTACCTGTTTCACTGTACTTGCGGTAGCGAGTACGTTGGCCGAACTGGGCGAAGACTGTCCACAAAAATGCCAGAGCATATTCCTCGAAACCTGGTCGCGAATGACCAAACGCTGCCTGCCAGTTCAATATCCCGACACATGCTTGACTGCTCCATGTGTGAAAACCCTCGTGAATCATTTAGCATAATCAACCAACAGAGCGTCGCCCGCCTGCTTCAGTTCACTGAAGCCTCGGTGATTAGGCGGCTGAAACACAGTTTGTGTAGACAGACCGAGTTTGTTGCCAGTCTCACCCTGCGTTGGTGAGGCTGGTGGCCACATTCCTCTAGGCGGAATGCCGGCCAGCATCAGATGAACTTTGACCGTAGCCCACTTTGATGAAGGAACTCTCGGCCGGGTCGTATGCATTGATCATACAGCAAATCACCGACTCGTATGGCAATCGGTATCTATGATGTACGCTCAGGAACGCGTACAATTTGACCTTAGTTAGTTAGAACGGCGTGTGACATGTCTTCTCACTATTGGTAGCACTCAATGTGCTGCATAACGACCGGTTAACAACACGTGGTCTATCACTGCAACGAGGACCCACTGTAATCGTAGTTTACAGTAATTATTGCTATCCCCGAGTGAACCTTCGCAGAGCCAGAGGCAATTCTAAGTGAAAGCCACGGTGTACTAGACTCGGGATGGCCTCATATTGCTTTTAAAGAAAAACATCATTGAACCTTAACAAAATATATCAGCGGTGTTGAACGGGTCACAGATCGAGTAGGTGCAAAGCACGTGTTACCATCGCTTGTTTCATACCACTCACGCGTCCCGTTATTCTTTGAGATCGATAAATTCAAACTTGCACACAGCCGTGATCTGAACTGTAATCAATGTGTTTTCATTTCCATGTCGGCCCGTTCTGTTTTCGCAAATATACTTCTCGTCCGTTGGGTTGTCTTTTGACTCGCGTGGCGCAATCTAAGAAGCTACCAAGTCGAACTCCTGAGGACGAAACGACCGTCTAGCGCTTTCGTGGATGTGTGGTGGCTGTCTGTCTGTGTCTAACTGCGACGAATCTACACAAAAACCTAATAAAATCCCCATACTACGTACAATAGTCCTGTTCTTAAATTATAACCGGACGGCCAGACAAGACCAAATGCTGGTAAGAATTAACTGAAGTCCAACCAGTTACACAACCGACTAAGCAATTCAGTCAGATGTGATTTAAAGCAAACGATCGATAGTTCAATCGATCAAGCCGTAATAATATCAGTTCATGAGAGTTCGGGGCAGCGAAAGAAGGGAAGTAGGGACTTGTGACATGCTTCCGTGGAATCCGACAGACGGGGATTTGCCTGTTACACCGATCCTCTGCATTATTCGTAACTTGCATTGTAGTAGGGGATGAGGTGCGCTACACCGCAGTTGGCTTGTATTGTATGGCGGTCTGATACCGTCGCCAGCGGCCTAGTGGCACAAGCCGCCAGTTTAGAGGTTATGGATCCGTTCTTAGTGAAGTCAAAGGATGCGCACTACCGACGAGACCTGATATGAAGAAACGGTTGTAAGTGCTTTTCCGGACTTGTGACCGTCTGTCTGAGTTGGAAGTTATTGCGGGGAATTTCGATTGGAATGGAATGTGCGCAGACTGTGAAAAACACTCAGTGTCCGCTTGACTAAACGGAATCGAACAGGTTTTGTGAAATGGTAACTGACAACAACAATGAATACAAGGATTACCTGTCACGTTTTCAGTATCAGTCACGGCATGAGTCTTGGTCCGCGATACTGGCTCCAGAGGAATAACTCGGGTGGCTGAGAGAGTGAAAAATAAGGTAATATGGAGTTTCATTTCCCCGAAAAGTCAAGTTGATGAGAAGATAAGCGAATGTGCGTCGTACATTGCGGATGAATACTGATAATGAACCGAAAATGAGCAATGATACCACATAGGTTCACTGTCTGTCACAAGATAGCGAAAGAAATAGACCCGTTTCGTAAAAAGGAAGACCACAACGGGTTAGTAGGATAGATCTTCAGCCCTATAGGTAGGATCCCGAGTCAGTAAAGCAATCTAATTGTAGAGAGACCAGGTGTCGGAATTCGACACGGGTCTCAGAGGCTTGCACAGGTCACAGCAACGAAGAAGTTAGGAGGACTTCGATTCGCTCGTCATTGGTAAGTCTAGGGCGTGTATGGTGCATCGTGCAGATGCAGGTGTAAGAGATGATTCAGAGTAAAAATACAAATTCGTGAGCCCATAGTATCTTCCGAAAACGCTGATATCTCAGCTGACCGGCGCTAGCAGTGAAAGCCAAACTGCGATGACGACGGTGTCGAAAAGAGACCGTCTATTGTAATAGTTTGAAATACCAGCAGTTTGATTTTGTCGTTTAGGAGCTGGTTTTCCCCCTAAAGAGCAAATGTGTCGCCACCACTCGAGATGGCATCTCCGGCACATAGCAAATAATTAGCCCAACAGATCAGGAAACACGCGCCATTGGCTACAAGGTTGTCCACCACAGACATCCCAGGCGTTCGCAACAACGCTTCCTCCAGATAGGCTGTCTATTATGACACCCAGAGATACTCAAGCTGGTTTGAAACTTAACACGAGCTAGGATAATTCGCCATCTATCGAAGAGATATCGACCAAACAGGTGATGATGCAATGCGAGCGTTGACACAAATAAGGTTACATTGGCAATGTGAGGAATTGCGACAATCAAACGATAATCCCCCGTAATCTTGGGCTTTGTTCTTTTGCCTGAAAGTGAGGATAAAGATAACCGTACTCCAACAGGAGCTAATCGGTTAAGGTGGTCGAAACCAAAAACGTGTTGTGGAGTATTGTGCGATAGACCAACCCAACACACACCCAACCCAAGGCAAATGATGCATAAAAAAGAGTTATAGAATGGGCAGTAATTGTCAGGACCCATCTATCCTAAGAGACCGCTGACTCTACAAGCATTGACATAAAAACCGGATCCCTTCAAAAAGGAAGCTTACAATTTGGAGATGCTGCTGCAAATATAGGAGTGCTTTGACCACTTGGACTAGCTGGATCTTCCGGGACAGGTGACGCTGGGGTGCTGCCGACAGGAGTCATTAACTCGGATACCAACGAAGTATTGTTCGTTGGAGTAGAGCTCCGGCGCCGTGAAACAACAGAGCAAGCGGCGACAGTGCTACGAGTCGCGTACGGAGAAACTGGGGATTCCTCGAAACTAAATCGGTCGAGAACATTTAGTAAAAGAGGAATAAAAGGAAAAAGAGACCATAGGGAATAGTAAGGGTAACCACAACTCCACCGTATCGTTGACATGGATATGTGGGAAACAAAGAAAAAGCGATGGAGGTTAAACGCAAAAAGTGATACCAATATTAGGCACATCAGCATCAAGTCAGTCAGGACACTTGTTGGCATGTGCACCGAATACTGCCAAGGTCATTGAAACTGAGTGCGTAAATGTGTCTAAATTAGTGCCTGCGTCTGATGCTCTTCGACAGAGTTTCTGCCATCAAATTCAGTCTGCTGGCCAAAGGTCTGGAGTAGATAAGCAGATGACTAAACTCGGTTTAAGGTCAGAACGTAATGTTAGAAAATCTGGGAGGAAGATGCAGACCTGAAACTAATATTGAACCCCAAGGTTAAAAAACGTCCGCCGAAAGTCGTCCAGATGGACTGGAGACTCTGAGAAGCAAGTTGGATGTACACTATTCGGAGCGGAAAAGCGGCCGAGAAAAGCATCCCAAATAGAAACTAGGATCTCATCTGAAAGGCGAAGAAATTTCGGGGTAAAGAGATTGCAGATGATAAAGCAGCAATTACAGAAAAACCGCAGGTGACCAAACCGTGTGGGGACTGCAAGTCCCAGACGCCATGGGCTAAAGAAATAAAAAACAGGGTCTACCTTTGGGCCCACTTAGAGCGCAGCGGGGCAGTGGCTGAGCAGATGAATAGGTAAGTTAGTAATCCACATTCTGCACAGACTTCTGTGAATTCGGTGAAATTACACACGATAACCTAACAAAAGTAATAGAACAGTGTTCATGCAGCACATCATGTCTATAATCACTAACTGCGACATGAGAATAGGTAAAGAATGCCTATGGTGCGGTAGGAGGTAAATTGTGATAAAAGTTAATGAGCTGTAAAATCCGCACAATGCACGCACAATCCATGAGCACCAGCATATGCCACAAGAACTGATGGATCCCAACCAAGCGGGCGGAGTATTACGCGTCAATTGCTAGCTGCACACTTTTCTGACAGAGAGGAAACACCATTCGGTCTCATAAAAGGGTCAGCAGTAAG